CATACATATGTATATGTGTGTGTGTGTCGGCAATCCCCAGGGCGGAGCGACCCCTCTCCCCCGGGATGCACGAACCCCCTCGGGAAGCATCGCTTGCACCGCCAGAGCAGGCCGGTACACACCGCCCCGGGAGGCACGAGGCACCCCCAGCACGCACCGCCAGGCCCGGTGTACGAAGCCCTACCGGGATTCCCTGGGATTCCCAGATATCCAACGCATTGAGAAACTCAGAACATCGGATATCTGGGCAGGGAGCACGTGCGAGCGTCCGGGGTGCTTGGGAGCGCTGGGGGGGGCGCCCTACGACAGCGTCGGCGGCGGCGGCGGCGGCGAGGGCGACGAAGCGGCGACGGCGACGGCGACGGCGACGGCAACGGCGACGGCGAATGCGACGGCGGCGGCGGCGGCGACGGCGACGGCGGCGGGGACGACGACGACGACGACCATGACGACGGCGACGGCGACGACGACGACGATGACGTACATCCAGAGATCCCCTGAGGCTTCCGAAGGTCCCGAGGAGCCTTCTGAGACGCTTACCCACTCCTCAGATGCCTCCCCCTGCGTCCATGCGCTCCTCGGTGCTCCCCCGCACTCCCCCGGTCCCGTCCTCATTCGCCTTCCTCGACAATCCTCCCCGCTTCTCGTGACTACCCCCCTGTCCGTCACACTCCTCGGCGCTCCTCACGACTCCTCCACACTCCATTGCACCGCCCCCACTCTTGCTCACTCCTCCAGACGTCTCCCCACTCCATGATGGAGTCCTAACCGCTCCTCCCGTCTCATCACCACTCCATGGCAATCCGCGGCCCTCTTCGGCACTCATCCTGGCTGCTCCACGCCCCATCGCACTTCCCAGCACTCCTCACCACTCCTCTCTCCGCCCGTGGGATGCAAGAAGCCCATGGGCTATCCTGCTCATTCGCATTTCTCGCAACCTGCCTCCCACTCAACCCCACGCACACGTCCCATATATTCAATCCCGGCACTTCCACAGAGCCCCCCCCACTCCAACAGACGACCCCCGCCTCACTACCACCAGATTACTGGCAAACAGTGCCTGCTCGCAAACGCCCGAAAGCACGTGTATATAGCGACCGCCGCCGTCGCCCTCGTTGCCGTCCTCCTCCTCATCGTCGTCCTCGCCATAGTCCTCGCCGTCGTCCTCGTCGTCGCCACCGTCGTCGCCACCGTCGTCGTCGTCGTCGTCGTCGTCGTCGTCGTCGTCGTCGTCGTCGTCGTCCTCGCCGTCGTCCTCGTCGTCGCCACCGTCGTCGCCACCGTCGTCGTCGTCGTCGTCGTCGTCGTCGCCGTCGTCGTCGTCTTCGCCACACCGGCCGCCTGCCGGCGCCGCCGCCCAGCCCGGGCGGGGCCGCACGGCAGGTGACGGGCCCCGGCTCCGCGCCCGCCCCCGCCTACGCCGCAGGCGCCGCGGGGCACGGCCTCTTCGCGGTCGCTCCTCCTCCTCCCTCCTCCTCCTCCCCCCTCCTCCTGCTCCCTCTCCTCCTCCTCCTCCTGCTCCTCCTCCTCCTCCTCCTCCTCCTCCTGCTCCTCCTCCTCCTCCTCCTCCTGCTCCTCTCTCCTCCTCCTCCTCCTCCTCCTCCTCCTCCTCCTCCTCCTCCTCTTCCTCCTTCTCCCCGTCCCCGCTCCTCCTCCTCCTTCCTCCTCTCTCCTCCTCCTCCTCCTCCTCTCCTCCTCCTCCCTCCTCCTCCTCCTCCTCCTCCTCCTCCTCCTCCTCCTCCTCCTCCTCCTCCTCCTCCTCCTCCTCCCCCTCCTTCTCCTGCTCCTCACCATCCTCATCCTGGGGTTTACACCAGTCCTCCTCTTCTTCCTCCCTCCCTCTCTCGTTTCGGGCTTGATTCGATTCCTCCGGTGCGGTTCGATACGATGTCGATGGCTTCCAGCTCTGATCCGATGCGACTTCGGCTTTGGATTTGGATTCCAAGTTCTCAATGCAGGCCAATGGAGCCTGCCGATGTCCGCCGATTCGCCTTCTCCCGACTGCGGGGGGAGGGGGCTGCCCGTGCCCGCAAGACGGGGCAGGGGGCAGGGGATGGGAGAGGGGAGCAGACGTACAGTGGGGCCCATGCCAAGAAGCACCCTGCATGCCTCCAGGGTGCCCTGTTTTTTTTTTTTCTTCGATGGTTTTGCTATGGAACGCGGTCTCAGGGTTAGGTTTCTTGTGGGAGTTTTCCTGCGGGCTGGCCTCCACTGGAACCAGGGCTGGGACAGAAAGGCCACCTGCTGTGAGGCTGCGGACACGACGGCGGCGACGCCGACCGGGCGGCGGAGGCGGAGGGAGTGCCGAGGTGGCGGCTGTATGGGAAGGCAGCCGTGGCGTGCGGTTGGCTTCGGCGCCGCCGCCGGGCGCCTCTGCTCGAGGCGTTGGCGCAGGGAGGCGCCCGGGAGGTCAGCTGCGTGAGCTGATTCGCCAAAGCCCACTCCTGGCGCGGCGCCCGGCTTTCGCGAGGAAGTGAGCGGTGCGACCGCGTCCCGTGCGTTCCCCGCGCCCGCTACGAGAGGGAGGTGCGCCGCCCTTGGGCTGAGTTGGCGAAGGTGGACTCGGCGCGGGGTCCTCGTCTTGGATACCGTTCGTGACAGGGGCGGCGAGTATAAGAAGTTGTGCGGGCGGCTGCAGCTCGACGCATGGGGCTGCGGCCAGGTCACACCTGACCCTGACTACGGCTTGTACCAGAAAGGGTGGTCCTAGAGATGTTGTGCGAGGTCTTGTACGGGATGTCTTGTGTGGGCTCTTGTGCCGGACTCTGGGCGTCGATTCGCATTACTTTGCTCCGTTATCCTGCACAGATCGTCTTGTGCGCGTCTTGTGCCCGACCACTCTTCGCTCGACCATTGTTTCTGTTAGAAGTCGTAGGTCGGTTGATGATGTAGGGACGGAAGCAAGGGGCGACGCCGCCCGCTGACGCGGAGTCCAGGACGCGTGATCGAGGCGGGAGTTGGTCGGGTGCGGGTGGTTCTGGCGGCGGGGCGGGCTGTGGTGGGCTGTGGTCGACAAGAGATTTTCCGAGCCCCGAGTCACCAGAGGTAACTCGAGCCAGGGCTAACTCGGGTTCGTTGTTCGGGAATCCGAACACGAGCTACCCCGGGCCCGAGTTACCCCAGATAGATTGGGCGCCCAAAATGTGCCCAGAGCGGTATGGCCAGCCATGAGGCGACGTGCCACTTCGTTTGCCTCATCCATGACCTCGGATGCCTCCTTTGCTCCTGCTGCTGGTGGCCCTTCCTCTGCTGCTGTTGCTGCTGCTCTTCTCTTTGGGTCCAATTGATGAGCCTCGGCCACCAAGTAGACCAATTCCAATATTGGGACGGCGAGAGGCCACCGGATCTATTGTTCAGGGCCACTCGCCACATAAGTTCATCATGGGATGTACGTTTGTCAGCCCAATGCTCAACGCCGGACGTTGTTCAAACGCGACTGTGCCAGCTATACCACCGCTGTTTAGATCGCAAGAAACGTATCAGGCATTTCTCTCGGCCTGCGCGTGCCGATTGAGCGATGGAAGCATCCCAGAGCCGCGTCGAAACACAGTGGGGATCGATACCGTCGCCTGGCGCAGGCAGTGCCATGAAGAAGTGTTGCTTTATCATGTCGCGGGGCCCGCGCTTGACAGCCAAGCTCTGCGGACGCGTCAGGGGTCGCCGCTCCCGCCCACACGCGCGGCTTTTGGGGCCAAGGGGGTCGTGGTTACGTGCCCGGGTACACTTGTCGCTCGAAGCCTTTGTGCAGGGTGGGTGAGGACAGGCCCCGCGGGGTCTTCGTCCCGCTTTCCAGCCGCTTGGCACGCCCGTGCCCTCGTCGAGCCCGCAGGCGCCCTGACGGGTGCGTCATCCCGCCGGCAACCTGGACAGGTTGGGGCATGCGGGGCGGGATGAGGAGGGGGGGCAGGAGGAGGAGGAGGAGGAGGAGGAGGAGGAGGAGGCGGAGGAGGCAGGTGAAGCAGAGTCCACCGCCACCAAGAATACATCGGGGGGGCAGGGGTCCGGCCACTGGGCGGTGGTGCGTCTGAGCGTCGTCCAGAACACTTGTGTTGTCGAAGACGAAGGCCTTCACGCGACCTCGCGTGAAGGAGGGCCCCAGACAGAGTCGGCTGGAGCCTGTAGGTAGAGCAGGGGGGTTAGAGGTCGCCGTCGGCGCAAGATTACCTGTGACGGGCACCACTGTACCCGTGAGCCAGAAATGTGACTCTCGGTGCCGTGCTGAGTGACCACATGATCCTCTTTTAGGGGAACAAACAATGCCATGAACATCAAAACTCGGAGGTCCACGCGGATTTTTGGAACAGCGCTGGACTACCCTCCTTGGCGCGCGGCGCCGGGGGGCTCCAGTTCCGATCCGAGTCATCCGCGCGGCCCTCCGAGTTTTTCTTACTTCTATCATTGTTCGATCCCCTATCTGTGCCCTCCCACCCCTCCCTCGCTCCTCCGCCCCATGTGAGTGTGTGTGTATGCGTGCGTGCGTGCGTGCGTGTGTGTGAATGAGTGAGTGTGTGTGAGTGTGTGATTGTGTGTGTGCGTGCGTGCGTGCGTGCGTGCGTGCGTGTGTGTGTGTGTGTGTGTGTGTGTGTGTGCCAGAGTTGGCCCAAGGTCCCAGCGTGCCCCAGCGCCCCGCGTGAGGCCTTTTGGGCCAGGAACGCCGCTCGCGGCCACCCGCTGTGGTCGGGGCGCCACAGCGGGGTGGCGCTCGCTGAGGTCGACCAGACGGGTCTCCCAATAGCCCTTGTGCCCAGACCCCCTCGCCTTGGTGAACAAATCACGACAAGAGGTTTTTCTGTATGTTCGGCCTCCGGGGGCCCTTGCCAGGCCTCGGGACCGTCGAAGAACGATTCAGGATGAAAAACCGGTCCCGGGGAATGGGTCCAGACCTTTGGGGGTCGACGGTGTGGAAAAATCACGACGTCGGGGGTCTGGGTGTTTTGTATCCGGAATTTGCCGGACAGGAGTTCAGATGCATCGGGCGAATTGCGCTCGAGTCGCCCAGG